GCAAGGGCTTCGCAGGGTGCTGTGCAGGATGGTGGCGGTTCGTACAGGGCGCTTTTGCTGTTGCACAGGCTTCTATTAAGGCTGCTGCGAAGAAAAGAAGACTGGCCACACAAAGATGCGCATTCAAGGTTGCTTCTGTGTGAGTTGCACTGTTAGAAGCCTTTGCGGTTGTCACTCATTGTTTACACTTTACACCCAATTTGAATTGTGTCTTTCCAAAATAGGCAAGCTCTTTTAGATGGTGCTAAAGGGCAACGAAAAAGGCAACAACGCATCCACCCGCTGGAACAAAACTCAAACCCACTCCTCTCAAAACATGGAGATGACAATGATCCAGATCCCAAAATGATCAAGTTTATTCTCATCAACTAGAAGCAGGGGTGGAAGGGGTGGAAAACCATCTGAACACCCAGTCGTTAGGGGGTTCCGGTGCTTTCAAGCACATTGTCCTTTCCAGCCACAACGGCTCCCGATATTTTTCGGGCCCAGTCAGGTTTTGAGACCCCCACACCTCTCTTCTTGGTGTCCGGTGTCCGGTGGCCAATGGTCTGTTTCGGCCTTCCATGGGGTTTCGGTCTCTGAGTTATAGGTGTCCTGGGGCAAATAGATGGGTTTCCCTGGTAGATGATTAAACCACCAGGAACCAAAAACAACCAAAACTACCAAAAACAACCAAAAACAACCAAAACTACCAAAAACAACCAAAAACAACCAAAACTACCAAAACTACCAAAAACAAGCAAAAATAACCAAACAGCACCAAAAAAAACACCTATGCTCTGAGTCCCTCGCCTTCGGCCAGAAGCCGCAGAACCAGCTCCGCGATGAAGAGCACCGTGTAGATGTAGTGCCCCACGTAGAAGGCCAGCAAGTTCTCCGAGTAGGACATGGAATACTGCACGTCCACCCCAATGAAGATCTGAGCCCAAAATGGCTGGTACCATTGGTACCCTTCTTCTTGTTTTTCACCGATCTTGTTTTTAGTTCTGCCAGCATGGTTATAATTAAGGGTTCATTTTGGGTTTGTCGCAAACACAGAATGGGTGGGTTTGCTTTCCTTTTGAAACCAGCCGAATGGGCACCTTACGTTGGCCTTGCTAGAGCCATAAGAGAAGCGAGTAAAATCGGTTTGGAGGTCTTCCGAGGGCTCGCCTTCACAAACCAGGGGTTCAAACATATCCGAACCAAAGGGGGAACCTGAAAAAGCAAAGAAAGAAGGAACAACGCAAATGAGAAATTCTACACGCAAACAAACATAGGATGTGTTTGACTCCGCCAAATCAAAACTTCCCGGGCGAAGCCCGGTCCCGTTGTCTAGGCATTCGGACCCGATGGGCTTTGAGCAAATGGGCCTAGATGACGAGGAAATGGGATTCGTTCTCACAGGGATGGTGCACCAGGAAAAGGAAATGGGACTCCCTTCGTAAAAACTGGAACTTGGTATCACATTGCAAAGAAACTGCATCTCCAGAAACCGCCAACGGCTTCTTACACCCAATACTGCAAGTGCTGTCCGACAACGCAATGGTTGTGGAATGCTGCATGTGGTTCGCTGATTATATCCAAAGAAATGGGAGGGATTCCCGAAGCAACTCATCCGCCAAAACCAGGCCCTTGCTTGGGCCCCGAATCTACGGTCCTGACTGCCCCCGCAGAACCCTCACCTCTGGAAGTCTCACTCTTTGCCACTTCGGGGTGGCCGAAACCCCCCAAAGAATCACACCAACGGGCGAGCAAGACCCTGCAAAACTTCGGGTCAACAGCAAGATGAACAAAGAAAAGGCGCATATTTCGCCTCCACTGAGAAAAAAAACCAGAGGGGAATCATGTCCTCTGCATGCCCCCTTCATTTTGCCCTTCATTTCCCCTTTCTGTCTCCTTCATTTCCGTTCAATTCATTCTGCCCCTTCATTTCCCCTGCTTTTCCCCTTCATTTTCAAGAAGGGCCTGGTTCGTTCAAGGAAAACCGAGGTCTTTTTCCTGTGCAGAGATGCCCGATTGGCCGAGGCGCTGCATTCGTGATCACCTGACCAACGGGTCAACAAATCAGACCGAGCCCGAGAAGAGTTGCTAGGAACAGATGGCAACAGGTTACAGTTCTAGGGGTTGAGTCCTTGTCCATTCTTTTCAACCATCGTTATTTTCAAAAACCGGCCATTTCCCCTTCGTTTCCGGAGGTTTTCTAGAAAGAAGGATCCCTGGAAAGAATGGGGATGGTATCCCTAGAACGGTTGTTTTACAGGATGCTGGTCAAGTACCCGCCAAAACCCCAGGATTTCCCTGTTGATTTTTTGTCCTGAAGCTGGTTTCTGAGATAGGTTCAGAAAAAAAAGTGTCTGCACAAACATCCATCCCTTCAAACTTGGATCCACATCCAGTCATTTAGTTCAAAAGGCAACCTGTTGCAGGAGCGCAACAAAGGTCGGTTTTTATACACCAGGGGAATCTCTGGACCAAACCTCTGGATTTTCTCCGAGGCGCCACAATGGCGAAGAAGACG